TTGAATTAGTGATATACAGGTGCAACATGGGCTCTGTGGTGGTGTGAGGTGCATTCATAATAGTAACCTAAAAGGCATTTTAAACCAAGCAGACACAGTGCTGCATGACCTCTATTGATCAATATTTTCCCATAAGTTTGCGCCCCAGATTCTAATGGTTTGACCAGAGACTTCTGGGATAAATTAAATATTAAATAAGTCATATTTTGGATCAGATTCCTTTGAATATTGATGCGTTTTAAGTCTCTGTTACTGACTTCTAATGGCCTAAATGTTTTTAGTTTGAGTCCAGCAGTCTCGAGTTTTTTGTATTTTTTGTTTTATTTTCATAAAGGAGAGAAATGTCAATTATGGACATAGATATAAAAAAATAAAAAGAATTTCCACTTGAGGTCTGTTTTTTATTGGATTCCAACAGGGCTGTTTGCAAATTTTCCCTCCTTGTAGTTTGTGTTGCCCCTTCATAATTATGTATACATCCCTCACCAAGAGGGTTAACAGAGGTGTAGCTGCGAGTTAGCACTTGGATTCTTAACATGGCTGTTGACTCTCAAAGGGACGGTTGAGTCGGCTTTGTCAGCCTTTAGCCCTGCCGCCCTGAGCCTCCTAACTCTGCTTTACAGCCGCCAAAAGCCCCCTCTTCGTCTCTCTCCACAATCACACATTCCAGCTGAATCAACAGCTGCACCATCGCAGCAAAGTCCAGGAAACAAGCTGCTGCCATGCGGATTTGCTGCAGTGTTACACACCCAGTCCCATGCATTGACAACATGTGCTATCTTTATGGACTTTTCCTAAATGTATGATGTTACACAGAGTTGTAGACATCCATACAGCTGAAAACCTCAACTGACCAATCAGCGATTAGAACGATGTCATTAAAATGTATCACAGCGATTTCTGTATTTGTTCAGGCCAGAGAAAGGGTGGAGTGACAAGTTAAAAGCAAGGTTGGAATTGTAAATGTATAGGTTTCTCAATTTGTGCAAATATCTTTAGCCATTTGAGAGGTATATGCATGGCCCTTCGTGAAAATAAACGCCATCCAGCCTTTCAAAATGGTGTGTGGTCTGTCAGAAATCAGTCCCATCTGCTGAGCGCTGCCAAGAATAGCAAAGCTGGACAGGAAGTGGGTTTCTCCTAACAAAGCCCTTTTTACAGAAAATAGTGACTATTCAAGTGTTTGAAGGTGGAACAGAAGGTCTGATGTAATTTTTATAATGAGCCTTTTCTTCCACTGCTTTGCTCTACTTGAAATTTCCTTAAGCTTAAAAAGAAAGTGAATCTACATTTCAAATATATGATTTTTAATTAAATTTTTTATCTTTAACTCCCCCTTGACTCAATCATGGTCTTATATTTAGCTCATCCTTGCCTCCATAATTATAGCAGCCACAGTGTTATATTTGTTAAATTGCTGTGTTCCAAATGAATGCGTCTGTAAAAAACCCTGACAATGTCACAGGATTTGAGACAAAAAAAGGAAAGAAAATTTAAAGCATAAACTGCTGTGGATTATTATTTTTTTTTATCAAAACCATAAGCAACATCTTTTTTATGCTGTTTGTAATGCATCCAGTTTTTGGTGCGAACATGTGATTTCAGTCAGAAAGGTTAACATCCAGCTCTTAACTAAAACTGATTTATAGTGCTTCCTCACATGTGCCAGAAAATAGTGGAGGGTGCTGTAGTATGTTAGAGTTACTGCTTCAGATTGCATGAAACACCCAATTAGCAATTAAATCTCATAGGCTTGTATTTTACTGCATGTGAAGTCATTGACATCACTGCAGTCATCGGTATTGTTTTTGATTTGTCGACTAATAATGGACATTTTTAAGCCATCTTTGCTTTCTTTAGCAGGTTTGAGTAAGGTGAGAACAAGGGCAATACCATACTGATGCAATACATTTTCCAAAGTCATAATAACATAATTGGTGCTGCAAAATGTTAAAGTTGGTGAAGCTCCTTCCATAAGATTTATTAGGTGAAGCCAAACCTTTATGGAAACAAACACTTAACTAAATACTTAAAGTTCAGTAGATCTAAAAAGCAGCTAACTAGACAACTCTAGATGGAGCAAAAAACAACCATAACTGAACTGAAATGTAGAGCGAATTAAGATGATAGAATAAAGTGAATGATTTAACTTAATTTGCTGTCAGTTGCTTCTGCTCAGCATCCTTCTGTTTGCACAAAATTCTCTCTGCTGGTTACGTATCCCTCTCAACTGTCGCATATAAGGACATAGGCATAGAGTTGGAATTTTCAAAGTAAAACATCTGGCAGCCAAAAAGCTTTCCATAGATTTGCATTATAAGCAGAAGATGATTCCACTTGGATCATGTGCTTGATCATCTTTTTTTCTCAAGGCAATACAATGAAAATGTAGTCTGAAGCATCACAGCTTGATTGGGGAACCATGGAAGAGATCCTCATTCTACAACCTCCTGTAGTGCAAGTTCTGTGTGGGGCGAAGACATTTGGCACTAGAAATCTTTTAATCAACATCATCATCTAACCTTTGCAGAGCTACAAAACCTTACAGCAATAAGAGAAGACAGCTTGATTTTGTATTACTGTGATTAACTAGCTTAATTCTTTTAGCTTTCTCTTTAGTTACATAAAATGACACAATAAATCTGTATTTATAATTGCTCTATCAAAAACAAACGGGTGTAAATCACTGAAAATATATATACTAAAGTATTCCTAACCTTTAATCTTTTTTATGTTTTGTCTAATTGCATTTTATTATTAATTAGGATGAAACAAAGTAGTGTAAAAATATGAAGTTAGAAATCATACGAAATATGTACCCTAATAAATATCTGAAAAGTGTGGTGTGCATGTGTTTTCATCAGTTTTAACACCCCTAAATGAATACCATTTTAACAAACTACCTTTAGAAATTATCATCATCATCTATGAAGAAAATCTATTAATGGCTGCAAAAGATTTTAGCAAAAAGGGGTTAACCTCTTAGGGGACATAAACATACAGCCACAGCTAACATCTTCTAGCATATACAAAGATTAGAATGGATTTGTCAAAGTCCAGATGTAAATCCATTTAAGAATATGTGGCAATATCTGAAAACCACAGTTGACAGATGCTCTCCATCCAGTCTGACTGAACCTGACCTATTTTGCAAAGAGTGACCAGAAATTTCACGCATGTGCAAACCCAGTGAGGCGCAGTCCAAAAGACTTGCAGCTGTAATAGCAGTAAAAGGTGGTTCTAAAAGATTTTGACCAAGGAGAGTGAAATCCAAATGAATGCCATAATGTTTAGATTTTTATACGTAAAAAGCTTCTGAAGAGCAATTTTTAAATTTCCTTTAACTTAGCAGTTTTCTTGTATTGATTCATAAACCATAGTGATGTTCATAGAACTTCATGGTTGTAACTATTGTAAATATTTGCAATGCTCTGTACATCAGTTATTTTTTCACAGATGCATTTATGTTTCAGGATAAGCTTAGTTTCTTTGCTGAAAACAAAAAAGAGAATGTCGAAAAAACATCATCAAAAGCATTTGTTCTACGAATTTGTTGCGCAAGGAATTTATTGTTTTGCATTAATCTCCTTTAATGTGTTTCTGATGAAAGCAGTTGTGTTTTAATAAGAACCAACTTGTGTTTTGCAAGTAGTGTTGTTGTTATGGAATCGTTCAAAAAACTGTTTTTAGAGTCTCTCTAAAAGACTGGAGGCTGCCTTAGCGTTTTTCATAGAGCTGATGACCTAGTCTTTCCATTTTTATATGTGATTATAGGCTGGGATGTAGAAAACCAGTGAGGCTTGAAAGGGCTTCCAGTCAACCATCACAGTCTCACAGCTTATAGCTGCAGAAGGATGAGAGGCATGTGTTTGACTTTTTCAGAGCCTACTTTTTGTTTCTCAGGTGTGTGAGGGTGGCAGCAGACAAGCTGTCAAACTTATTTTAATAGATCCTAAACAGATCACACTATTTCCAGAAATCCATTGAGGAATTTAAACATGCCTTTTGTGGCACCAATTGGAAGCTGCAAAATGTCATCCTAGTAAATTATTTTTATTATTTATTAACATTACCAAAGATTTTGGATTTTCTATTATTGTTAACAAGCTTAAACATCTGCAGGGAGCACGGATGGAGCTTAATGCATACACATTTCATTCTTAGTAAGACTGTTTAGCTTATGGCTTAATGTACTTGTCCACTGAGATATATTAAGTGGCAGCCAGCAGTGTTGTAATGGTTTTAAACAGCCCTCCGGTGCTTCATCACATGGCTGAAAGTTCGAGAACTTTAAGAAATTCATATCTCCTCCACCCTGGAAGTACAAACCCCTGGAAAGTAGGAAAATAAACAAAAGACTACAGGACCTTTGTAAAAACAAGGATGGAGCGCGTTGAGGAGGACAAAGCTATTAGAACACAGAGATCATTCTTTTTTTTTTTCATCTGGTGTTTTTCCTTTATTCCCTCTGCTTAGATTAACCCATTCCCAAAGATTTCTCTAATATATAGGAACTTCTTATTGATGATCACAAAGACAAGCAGGTGCTTATTGAAATGCTGTCACCTGAACACCTCCTCACTCCTATTTCTTCTTCTTGCTGTTTGCTTTTTTAAAGAACCACTCTCACATGTGCTCTTAGTTAGATTTGTCAAAGGCTTTGCCTCACAAAGACGTCTTTTAGTTCCAATCCTTCAAGTCCACTCCGGTTTTATTTTACTTTTATTTATTTAGCGACTGGATTTGCTGGATTTGAAAGCGGAGCAAAAAATGTGTGTTTAGACTAGAACACCTGCAGTCAGCAGGCAGGTTTAAACTAACATCTAGATGCTATGTTGATAGATCCAGGAGCTTAGTTCACTTTGTGTGTTCATCATCATGTTTCTCCTTTACTATTCTAACAACTAGACACAGTTTCCTCGCTCCTTTCCAGCACACAGTATTTGCTAACGTCATTACCTGTGATTAACTAATATCTGCTCATTTTCACTCTGTTCCAGATCATGGATGAGACCCAAACACAGATAGCCTGGCCTTCCAAACTGAAAATTGGAGCCAAGTCCAAGAAAGGTGATTTTTCATTATTGTTATCCTTTCTTTTAAGAAAAATGGGGATTTGGTCAATTGTTGAAATATCTGAAGGGACCATTATCATCATAGCTGAACATATATTCCTCATTAAAGGAGTATATTCTTTATAAAAGGATTCTGGTTAATGATAAACAACAGTTGTTGTTGTTGTTGTTGTTCATGGCCTAATGCCACATTAATGCTGATATTTTATCATGTTTTAGGTGTCTACAAACAATTTAAAAATACTTCAACTAGGAAATGTTTTGTTATTAAGTGTTCTATGTAGGAAGACATTTTAGGAAACAACTTATCCATAAAATCTTTCTCTCTAAACAAGTAAAATTTTAATAGCAGGTAAGGAATTGGCTGATTTAACCCAAACCAAAAGTTTGGACACACCCTCTGATTCAGAGTATTCTTTATGTTCATGACTATGAAAATTGATGATTCACACTGAAGGCATCAAAACGATTAATTAACACATGTGGAATTATATACTTACCAAAAAACTGTGAAACAACTTAAAATATGTCTTACCTAGAAGGTTCTTCAAAGTAGCCACCTTTTGCTTCTGCTTCGCACACTCTTGGCATTCTCTTGATGAGCTTCATGCAAGAGGTAGTCACGTGAAATGGTCTTCCAACAGTCTTGAAGGAGTTCCCAGATATGCTTAGCACTTGTTGGTCCTTTTGCCTTCACTCTGCGGTTCAGCTCACCCCGAACCATCTTGATTGGGTTCAGGTCCGGTGATTGTGGAGGCCAGGTCATCAGGCGCAGCACCCTATCACTCTCCTACGTGGTCAAATAGTCCTTGCACAGCCTGGAGGTCTGTTTGGGGTCATTGTCCTGTTGAAAAATAAATGATGGTCCAGTTAAACGCAAACTGGATGGAATAGCATGCCGCTGCAAGATGCTGTGGTAGCCATGCTGGTTCAGTATGCCTTCAATTTTGAATAAATCCCCAACAGGGTCACCAGCAAAGCACCCCCACACCATCACACCTCCTCCTCCATGCTTCATGGTGGGAACCAGGCATGTAGAGTCCATCTGTTCACCTTTTCTGTGTCGTACAAAGACACGATGGTTGGATCCAAAGATCTCAAATTTGGACTCATCAGACCAAAGCACAGATTTCAACTGGTCTAATGTCCATTCCCTGTGTTCTTTAGCCGTAGCAAGTCTCTTCTCCTTGTTGCCTGTCCTTAGCAGTGGTTTCCTAGCAGCTACTTTAACCATGAAGGCCTGATTAGCACAGTCTCCTCATAACAGTTGGTCTAGAGATGTGTCTGCTGCCAGAACTCTGACCTTGTCTCTAATCTGAGCTGCTGTTAACCTGCGATTTCTGAGGCTTGTGACTCAGATGAACTTATCCTCCACAGCAGAGGTGACTCTTCGTCTTCCTTTCCTGGCGCAGCCCTAATGTGAGCCAGTTTCTTTGTATCGCTTGATGGTTTTTGCGACTGCACTTGTGGACACTTTCAAAGTTTTGCCAATTTTTTCCGACTGACTTACCTTCATTTCTTAAAGTAATGATAGCCACTCATTTTTCTTTACTTAGGTGCTTTTTTCTTGCTATAATACATTTCCAACAGTCTAGTCAGTAGGACTATCAGCTGTGTATCCACCTGACTTCTGCACAACATAACTGTTGGTCCGAACCCCATTTATGAGGCAAGAAATCCCACTTATTAAACCTGACAGGGGACACCTGTGAAGTGAAAACAATTTCAGGTGACTGCCTCTGGAAGCTCGTCAAGAGAATGCCAAGAGTGTGCAAAGCAGTAATCAAAGCAAAAGGTGGCTACGTTGAAGAACCTAGAATATAAGACATATTTGCAGTTGTTTCAGTTTTCTGTTAAGTATATAATTCCACATGTCTACAATGTACAATCTACAATTTTCATAGTCATGATAAAGAAAACTTTTTGAATGAGGTGAGTCCAAACTTTTGGTCTATATATATATATATTTATTTTTAATATTTCAAGGTTAATTTGATCTGTATGCGTCCATGTTGTTTTAGCCAGATATATGTTCTTGGAAAAAGTTATTGAAATCAGATGGATGAGAGGGAGGTATTTCCATGTTGCGCCTGCATTCTTTAGTAAAAAGCTAATTGAGCAGTTTGCACAGACGAAAGCTTACATGTTTTCCATTCCTCACGAGCCAATAGCTTCATCTGCATGAAAGCCTTTTTTTTTTTTTCAGCACAGGCGGAGGTGTGGGAGTCAAAGCTCTCGCGTTTATTGGTAAAGTTGCTCCAGCACTCTGTTACCAATAAAAGATTAGCTTGGTTATTTAAAGCTCTTCCGGGAGGGAAGCATTTATGAGGAGGAGGAGGATGAGGGGGAGGAATAGGTGTAGTTGTGCCCGCTTTGTTTCCCCCAGGAGAATTGCCAGTGTGCGTCTTCAAACCAGATGTGCGATCCACTGACATTATGTAACTTCCTCAGTCAGTCAACTGGGACAAATGTTGATTGGATTACAGCAGATTCTTTAACATTTCTTTCCTCTCTAATACATAATCAACTTTAAAGTTTGGCAGATAATACATTGATGACTCTTCATTCATGCTAAGTTATCCTTTCATTCACTAAAAAAAGAAAAAAAAAACTAACTATGACCTGCCCCACCTTTGATAAATGCACATGCGCCATTTGAATTCTTGAATTTTTGGGGCTCTGCATATTTAATGTAAGCAAAGAAAACAAGTAAAGAGGAAATGTTTGAGAGTCTCACTGTTATCTCATTAGTATTTCTGAGGAGAAATGCGGAACTCTCCATGTGCCCTATCAACTCTCAGGAGACTGAAGATGGCAAGAAAACCCATCAGCTTTCATTTTGCTTCCTGCAGGTTTATGCTAAGATCAACAAAAAAAAGGCATTGACTAAAAGAAATGACAGAATGTATTTTGTTAGATCATGAGATTAGAATTACCCTTTAAAAACAAGATTAAAGCAAATCTGAGATGTTGTTCTTAAGCCCACATTCCTATATTAAAATACTTTTTGTATTGTCTGACGTAATATTCCAATCCTAGACGGTTGTTTCATTAGCTTGAGGCGAAAAAAACTCATCATGAACAAAATGTAAGTCTTTAAAACTGTTTGTAATCAATCTTTAATTTTCTTTACTTAAACAACTTAAATAAAATTTATATAATGTATTCAAAAAGTAAATGTGACATAATATATCAACATCCTATGGTGTTTGTGGAGGAGATGGTATTTGGCAGATAATGAGCCTTATTATTACTACTACTCTTATTCATACCTCACACCTCTCTATTCAGAATATTGAAATACCTTTTAAATAATCTCTAAATATTCTGCATTGAATTTGCACACAATCATTATAATCTCCCATTTGACTTGTATTTTAAATGCTACAGAAGCCACAGTTAAAATTAATTGAGGTTAGGATGAACATTGCATTTTTTCTCACCTCGTAACCCTGAATAAAAACACAAAGCTCAGTTGCTGAGCACATAAAATAGCAGATGATTCAGCCATTTCACTGGTACTGAAATGCGTTTTTTTTTTTTTACTGTTTCAGTCTAAAGTAATGCTTGTTGTAGTTGTTCATGTTTTCTTGGAATGTTGAGGGTTTCCTATGAAGTCTGGATTTAATATGCAGGATCTGATCAGAAGTGACGGGAATTGGATGGTTGTGACCGCTCTCACACTCGGTGAAGCAGTTTATCAAAATGCTCGCCTCTATTTCATTTATCACTTTCTCAAATTAATCTCTTCCACCTGCAGAAGTGTGATAAGCCCAGTTTGTAGCCTTTGGTGCAAGCCATCAGTCAGTTTTTAATCCTGTGAGGACTGATGTCTATCTTTCCCATAATAAATGGCAACCTTATCTGATCATATTTACACTTTTATTATTTAGAATTCACTTTGTTTTACTGAAAGTCATTGTAATCGCTTTTATACTTACCAGCTGGAACTTTTTCTGTTTCCGCAGATGTTTTTGAATGGAAAAAGCCACGCCAAACTCTTAACTCCGTTAATTTGTGTGGTATTTTCTAATGTAGCTGAAAAAAAAAATCTCTTAGTTTTGCCAGCAGAGAATTCTTGGTCAAAAGGTTTCTTCTCTGTCAAGAAAAGCTGTGTGCAACTAAAAAGGCTCACTTTTTTTTAGCTGCAAGTCGAACCCTTGTTGTTGTTTGTTTTCTTAGCTGTCGTGTGAACCAAATTATGACTTTAGGTGTTCATTTTTTATTCCACAATCAATCACTGAGAAAAAAAAGAGGGGGAGAAAAAAAAATCAGCCAACACACTCCAGAAATGCGGGGGTGTTCAACATCTCAACTGCAACACTCGTTTAGGCAGTCTAATGTTTGCCAGATGTGCTCTGGAGGTTAGTTGGTGAAAACTTAATGGACCCAGTCTCCCTCTAATGGTTAGAGCAGGTGTTGCAGGAGGAAATTGAGAGCTTTTGGTTGTTTACAGCAGCAGCCAAATGATGGGAAAAGTGCCTGGAACCAGCAGTGAGGCTGTGAAAAGTCTCCAACAGCCTGTTTTGCTCACTGTTTCTGTTTCTTTGTTCCTCTCAGGCTTTTTTTTTGTGCTTTTTTTCTGATTTGTGATTAGAATAAATGCAGGTCTGATTCTGACCTGTTCAGGAATTTTTACTAGTCCAACCTCCTTTGAGAGTGTCAACATTCAAGTGTGAAGTTAAACCAATAAATCTGATTTATTGAGCTTGGTGTGCAGCTCATACTGTAAATCTAGAGTTCTTTTTGTCTACATGGGGAGGGTTATTCCTGGAAGGGGGCTTTAGTGGGCTTCCTGTTTAAACATGGGCACGGGTTGTAAGGGTGTAGTGTAATTTGTTTTCTTTCTGTGGGTCTCTGTTTGTGTGCTTTTGCATTTGTGTTCTCTAATTGTTGAATTTGCAAAGGCACCCAGATGGAACAATGCTCAGCTATGAACCTTACCTAGGAATGATAACATGTCTAAGTTTGGGTTTAGTTTTTTTATGATGATGTGTAACTGAAAGGACCCTTTTTATTTTTGCTGAACAGTTCTTGCTGTAATTGCTCCTATGTTTGCAGAGTTTTGTGTCTATAGAAGTAATGAAAAACCAAAGAATGATTATTTTTCTATGGATTCTATATAAATAGAGGAATGTATCTTTGTTTATTTTCATAATTAGGTTAATGTAACCTGCACAGACATTAGAATAGGTCGACATGATTTACTGCACCAGTGTGGCACGGCATGGAAGTGATCTGCCTATGTCTTTGGTAAGGAGCTAAAGAAGCCAAGACTGCTTAGGGTTTTCTTTGCATTTTTACATCTGGTTGTCTTTTCAGCAGTTAATCACAGAGCTCTCAGTTATTTACTATCTTTTACAATTGTTATTAAAGCATTGCAGTATGACCAGCAAAATGTGTAAAAATGCATTAAACAGAACATTATGATAATTGCAACCTTTATTTGTTTTTCCAGATTAAAGAGGCTTCTGTGTTTCAGTTTCTTCCAAATTAGATGTGTTGAATTGTATTATTGCAAACAAATAACCCTCAAGTCTCTATTATGATTTTTCTTAAACCTTTGGTGTTATATTTTGCACCACAGCTATCAATAAAGTAACAACTGTTTTTTAGCCAGGTTAAAATTGTAAATAAACTGCAAGATTTAGCTAAAAAACTTTACTTACCACTGCTGTTAATTGAATTCTGTTAAAACCTTGAACCATTATTCATTTGAATTCAGTTTCATATTTGGGGAAAACAGAAAAGCAGAGAGACTGTTTCTGCAATGCTCTGGTTGACAGGCACAACACTTTTTGTGGAAGCTCTAAAGAATGACAAATGACATTAATCTAATTCCACAGGGAGTCGTCTGGCTGCTTGCAGATTTCATCGGGACTACACATATCAAAACAGCAATTATTCCCGCAGAGCTTTCCTCTGAAGCTCTCTAATTTGCTGATAAATGCAGTCATGTTTGGTTAAATTGGTTTTAACTTGTCGCTTTCTATTACAGCACTTCTTAACTCCTTATTGGCTCACTGATTAGATACCACTAAATCCCCATTTTGGCTCTTTGTTTCAGATCCACACATCAAAGTGTGCGGAAAAAGAGATAATGTGAGAGAAGCTAAAGACAGAATCATGTCTGTGCTTGACACAAAGGTACAGTTAACACTTATTTCAAATGTGAAACTGTCTCCCAGTTTCTTTTTTAATATTATTTAATTTTTTCCGACCACTTTCTCTTTTTTCCTTTATTTTTACTCCAAATGTATTTCACTGCAGTCCAAGTGATGGAATACAAACAGACTTACTGTACAATTTCTCTCCAGACATGCCAAATACTCCTGTGTTTAGGTTGTCATGAATTTAAGAATTTGTATACAGCTTCTTTGCCATAGCAACACAGTATTTTGCATACCTGGATATCTGCACTATAGCGCCTCATAGAGGAAGAAATTTATTTGTGCAGGATTAGTTGTGTTTAGTTTATCTGCTGCAAAAATGACTTCGATATTTTAGATTTTACTAATTTATTTTATCCTCTGCATTTTTTTCAGACTTTAATATATCAGTAATTAGTTAAATTAAAAATACAATCATAATCTCTCAGGATTAAAGGGATTTTAGAGATTAAATAGGGGATGTATCTGACAACTTCTGTTTCTTCTATGTTTAAATTTTATGTATTTAGATATAGGCCTCTATCTATTCCATATTTGTTTTTTGTAAAAGATGCACTTCTCTTTAGAGCAACAGGGTGACTCTGAAGATGGACGTTTCCCACACAGAGCACTCCCACGTCATTGGCAAAGGTGGCAACAACATCAAGAGGGTGATGGAGGAGACAGGGTGCCACATCCATTTCCCTGACTCAAACAGGAACAACCAGGCAGAAAAAAGCAATCAGGTTTGAGACTTCTTAATGTTTTATAATAATTGAGCTAATTAATAATAATTTAATTTTACTGGTGAAATTTATCCCTACATTTAAACCCATCCCTTTGGGGCACAGTGGGCTGCCACTGTGCAGCTCCTGGGGAGCATTGTGGGGTTAAGGGTCTTGCTCAGAGATCCAGGGGATTGAACCGGGTACTTGCAACCTTCTCAGAGCACAAGAGCGCTGCTCTAACCCACTAAGCCAGCACTCATTCAGGGGTGTTGTCCTGTTATCGAATTTTCAACTTATTGGGTTGTTTGGTTGATCAGCATGTGCTGGCCTTTGTTTCCATCTAAATAATCCTTGCTTAAGAAAGTTCTATATTGTTTTGTGATTAGTTGTAATCAACGGATTGGATCCTGCTTTATTTGCAGTTGACACAGAGTGTCATGTCTGCATCTTTTACCACCCACTCTCCAAATCATTGTTATATAAATCACTGTTAAATTAATTTATGTAAGACTACAGCCATCAAGCTGTATCTCTTTAGCACATCTCTATTTTGAATTGCAGTACCAATAAACTCCTCAGTGCTCTGATCCCAGGGAGAACTCCATCCCCTCCAGATGATGCAAACTTGGGTGGATTAGCTGCAAGCAGACTCCCTTTAGGGCCAAAACTCCTTTAAGCATCTTTTTCATTTTCTCTGGCGCCAAACACTTTCAGATTTAAGTAGAACCTTTCAGATATGTTCCACATACTGAGAAAGAAAATATTGTTGATTAGCAGAAAAACACAGGTTTGTAAATCATTAATGCTGCAGCTCACTGTTTTCCTTGCCAGGATCTTGGAGGTGTTTGGCTGCTGTAGAAACAACATTATTTCTTATCTCTTTTGCAAATGTGATTGTTTTTATTTCACAGTAATGTTTGCTTGTCTTTATATTAATGAATTTGTCTGAAAAAAAGAATTTATATGACTTGAATTTAGTTTAAGTCATACAGTATAAAGTTACCAGTTTTAGCATAGGATAGATAGATAGATAGATAGATAGATAGATAGATAGATAGATAGATAGATAGATAGATAGATAGATAGATAGATAGATAGATAGATAGATAGATAGATAGATAGATAGATAGATAGATAGATAGATAGATAGATAGATAGATAGTTGTCTTTGTTCTGTATTATTAGAGAATATAGAGATTTCTGAGAGGCTGTTCATATTTTTTTTTAAATAAAAAGATATTTATATGATTAAAAAATATTAATTATGATGTACCTCAGCCTTCCTGTGAACTGTTGAAAGTACTGCTCTCTCTTGTTCTCATGTGACAGAATGAACCTCACATAACAGATCTTTGAAGCATTTATGTATGATTCACTCAGTAATTAGATAAACAGTATTTTCAGTTTAGGCAGATCAAGCTAGAAATTAACTGATTATGGTCACTAATCATTATTTAGTTTTATTTATTCTAGTTTAGAAGTGCTGTTTTTGTTCCATTGAGAGCTGAAGGGAGTTATTTGCCTTGATCTAAACAGACCTTGAGTGTTAAGCCCTCCATTTAAAAGTCAGTTATCCAAGTTGTGGCTGCCTATATATAAATATGGTTTTATCTTATATATATCTCGGGCTTGATCCAGTTTTGATTGCTGCCATAACTGCCTATCTCATTTCAATATTTTTATTGTTAACAGGTTTCCATTGCAGGACAGCCAGCAGGCGTGGAGGCAGCTCGTGTAAAAATAAGGGTAAGTTGGAGCTTAGCCAGTTTGCCTAAAGGGAATACTCCACCCTGAATTTTAAGCAGGGATTTCTCATTCCTGGCAGACTTAAAAAAGTTGCACTTTTTTAATCCTTATAAAACTCAATTGAATCTTATTGAGTAAAAAAGCAACTATTGTCATGCTTTTCTTTGTTCAGATAGTTATTTTTACTTAGTTTATACTGGAAATACAATTAGATTAATTGATTGTATTTACTGCAAATTATATTTTTTATTTCATACTGGCATCACTTAAATCCTTCTTTTTCATACAAAATTATGGATGATAAGTAGGAATCAGAACAGTAAACCAGAGTGCCAACACTGGGAGTGTTGAAAGAGTTAACTGTAGTTTTTTTCTTTAGCATAAGTTGTCTTCCAGCTTAACAAGAACAATCATCTCATTACGACTATGCAGAAACTGTCTGGATGATGGAGAACAAAGCAATTGCTAAAGGTTTTATTATTTTTGGATTAAATGAATCACTGGAATAAATTTTCACCTGAGTTTGCACAAAGCTTCAGTGTAGAGTAATCTATACTGATGATTCTGCTTAATTCTTTAATGGAAGGTATGAAAATATTATTTTGTTGTGAATGTAGTCCTTGGACTACAGTATAAATAAAATGTATGACAATTATATTTCGACAAAACACAAGACTGTTTTTTAAACAATGTTTTGCTAGCTAAATTAATTAAAGTTGATACTCTTGTTTTACACTATTATTAAAAATTAAATTCCTGGTAAAATGGAAATTGCAGTGCAAATGATCCACTCTTAGAAATAAAACCAAAAGTGGACAAAAGCGTAAACATTGGATTCCAGTAATTTACTAATTGATGAGAAATTTATATCTTAAGAAGATATTTTATGAGAAGTAGATGATGAAAAATTATTAATTTGCACCACTCAGCAAAACAAGTGAAATTCGAGAATTTTACCATGTTTGTAAAATAAAACATTTTTTCAAAGAAAGATCTCTATAAAAGAAAAAAAACCCAAAAAGATATAAGGATTGGATCATTGGCTCCAAAAGCCTATAACATAATAATAAAAAAGTAATAGGCCTAAAATGTAATTTTTTCCCCCAAAATACTAAAGAAGAAGAGAGTTTATGTTCCAACCGTTTTAACTGATTAGTTGTACAATAAAAGCATGAGCCTAATCTTTTCTGGCAACTCCATCACCTTCCCTTTTCTTCACCTTCCCTTCATCTCCAGTTTGGGTCTGAATAGAAGCCAGCTTAGTGAACCGAGGACTACCTCTGCTGGTTTTCAGGGGTTTCTATTACCTCTCTTAAGTCTAGCTGCATTTCATCACTACACACGTGTCTACAACAAACACAATCCTCCTCTGTGAATTGAGCAGAATCAACAGCACTGAGTTTGCTTGTGAAAGCAGCTGAGCGAAGTATGTGCTGCAGGAGGTCATTCCGCAAGCTTCTGCAAATCTGCTGCATTTAGAAAAGAAACAAATATAAATACATTTATAACATACATGTAAACGAAATGAGGATACACCAGGTTTTCGTTAGAGAAAACGTGGCAAGTAAATGGTGGTGAAAAACCCTTTTTGTGCTGCAAATAATGGAGAAGCGCCTGTGTTCTTATTTCAACATTTCCAAAGGTATATACAAAACGTATAGACTGCTGAACTTGACTTAGTAAAACAGAATTTTAATTTGCAAGTTTTTTCTCTTTCAAAAGGATAAAAGATAGGAAAGAAAAAGATTGAAAGCCATAAACTGTCAAGTATAACCAAACAGAGAAAATATCTGCCAATAATCCATATATAGCATGGTTTATTGAATATTAGATTTTTGTCTGGAAAATCAATCCTTCAGACCTCCCCTTCATCAGTAAGATAACAGAAAAGCTGTTTCAAAAGTGAGAAACATCCTTCTGGCAATACTTCCACATCTGCCAGTCAGGCGTCCATTCTGACCCCGGTAAAGAAACTATCTTTGTCAAGGTGTTTACCGACATCCATATAAATGCAAACTATGGAAGAACCACATTCCAGGTATTGCTGGACACTACTGTAGTGTTCGCTCCATTTTATTAAAATATAGGGAAAACTGTCAGCAGGTAACTTTACATCAGAGATCCCCATCTTAGAGCCCTCCTGTTCATTATCTACATGCCCCCCACCCAACTTACATTTTAATATACAGCAACAGAAGTGACCATAACTATACAGATGACACTGAGCTGTACTATGAACCCTTTTAATCACTGGGCAAATTGATAGAAGAAATCTGTACATAGATGTGTCAGAATTTTATTCAGCTAAATCAAAGTACAACTGAATTAAGAATTTTTTCTTGACCAAAAAGTGATGGTGATGGACCAGAACCTTCAAAGGCACATAAAGACATCAACAAAGTCAGCCTTCTATCATTTATTGAACATTGAACACCAGAATTAAAGGACTAAAGTCCCAGCAGGATCTTTGAAAACTAATATACGTTTATCTTTAGCAAAATTGATTACTGCAACTGTTTCTTCACAGGTCTGCCTAAAATTATTAATTTTTTAGTTCTCATGTTCCACTGATGTGGAATAAACTCCCACAAAACTTTAAAAGCACTGAAACCCCAAATTGCTTTAAACCTAGAGAATTTGACTCTGCTATCTAAAGTTTTCTGTCCAACTTCTGTTTCATGTTTTATCAGTCCTTTTTTTTTTTTAAGAATATTTTAGGCTTGACTGGCCTTTATTTTTGTTATTTTTGAAAGTAGGTAGACAGGAAATGGGAGTAGAGAAAGGGGAAAAGCATGCAGCAAAGGTCTCAAGGCCGGGACTTGAACCTGTGACAAAAAACTCTGTACATGGGTTGTGTGCTTAACTTCTGCACCACTGCTCTGCCCCTATCAATCACTTTTATCTTTAATTATAACCATGGAAAAAAATAATTTTTATTCTCTTTGTGTTTTCTGTATGATACTACAATATATATATATATTTTTTTCTATTGTGCAGTACTTTGAATTGTTGTGCTACTGAAATGTGCTTTATAAATAAATCTGCTTCACCTTTCCTGGTGTTTATTGAACATGTAGATATAATGCCAGGGAATTTAAAGCGTCCTGTTTTCCTAAACCAATCTTAGGGTGAGCTCTGCGTCAGTTTGTAACATGCCACTTGTTCATTTGGTGGTGGAATGGACATTCAGGTGATGAAAGCTTTGCCCAGTTGCTTTACCTCAGGACATTTTCATTTTTCTTCATCTTTTCCCTTTCGTGTCAGTAAAAATAAGGCCTTTAAAGTGGTGGCTTTGATTGAACCCATGTGAAACTATTTGCTTTGTAGACTTTTTTTGGAGGAAAAAGAGCTTAAGTCAGCTCTGCCATAAAAATTGGTCTATTCTTCATTCAGCGCCTGACTCCTGCTGCTCACTGCTTGTCTTTTCTTGCTTATCCTTCCATCCTGACCTAAATTTCTGGAGCCCTGAGAGAGGGATTGCTGAAACGTGATATAAATGTAAGGCCAAGAGCATATGGGAGTGATCAGGGATACATTTCTTTGGTCAGAGCAATTCATGTTGCTTGCCCTACACTGACAGCCAAAACCATGGTGGCGCTCTGCCCAAAAGTTAGTGTTTAGATAACTGTGTGCGAGTGTTCATCAGTTTTTGTGTATTTCTATATCTCTTTCAGTTTGAATCTGTATGAATATAAGCCAGTGTATTTTCTCCCACATGCATGCATATGCATGTGTATGCATGAGTGAAGCCGTCCTGTCAATGTCTATTGTATTTGAGAGATATGTTTAATACAGAGAGCAGGATCCGATCTCTTGTTCTGTTCCTTGGGTTTTATTCCTTAATCTGTGAGAAGGAATAGGCTAATGACTGCTGTTTTTTGTGTTATCGTAAATGTAATTTTGAACATCTTTGTAGACATAATATTTAATGGGCTCAGGAGCTCTAATGTTTTTCATGGCCTGCTGTGGCAGTGGTCTGCTTGCGTGTTAGTGATGAAACTTGCAGTACCACCACAGTTCCCTGCATGAGAACTTTTCAGTCTTATTTCATTACCTTGTCTGGATTGAACTGACAGAGTTACATGCAAAGTTTTGTCACCTATGGCTAAAAGGAGGCCCTGTGTGTCAGTTGCCGTAAAAATGAAAAGAAATCACCATTTTCCCTGCTGTTTTTACTTTACCTCCAATTTTTTTTCTTTTTAAGTCTGTTTGACAACATGTTAGGGTGCACACTGTTATTCTGCACCTGTGTTAGTTTTTATTTACAAAATCTGCTTATGATTATGTCATGTTTTCTGTCAGCTGTTATAAGGTCAGAATGTGCCAGGCTTTGAGCATGCAAAGGCTGTCGCCGTCATTGTTTTTTATTATTCCACTTATTCCATCATCTTACAGGAGCTGCTACCTCTCGTGCTGTCTTTCGAACTCCCAGCCATCATGCAGTCTGACCCAAGCTCTCCCACTGTGCAACACATCTCACAGACATACAACCTCACAGTTTCCTTCAAGCCCCCAACACGTCTCTACAGGGCCACCGGAGTTGTCCGTGGTTCACAGAATAACGTCAGTGCTGTAAAGGTGAGCAAAGTCCTGCAGTTTTGCTGTTGGGTTTGTATGGTGGAGGGTTTTTATGATTTTTTTTGTTGTTGTTGTTGTTGTTTTAATAACCTGAACCAGAACTGGAACCTCATTTCTTTTTTTTACAAATATATCAAAAAATGTCTTATTGCCATGCAAAAAGCATTTTCAACATTTGAAACTTTTCAATCATGGCTGCTAAAATGCTCATAGAGCAGATCAACTAAATTATTCTCTAAAGATTTAAGACTTAAACCATGTTGCTGCCTTTAATTGTTGCTCAAGTGAAAAGCTAACATTAGCATGAAATTCATTTTTTATTTATCAAAATATATTAACAGCTTAGGCCAGAACATATTGCAGTATGGTCACAGTCACAGTTTACTGTGTTGCATATAAATTTTGCATGTAAAATCCATCTCCCCCTTCAGAAATATGGTGCATAGTAACATAATGTAAAAAGAAGTTTGTCTTTCTTATCAAAACAAACCCTCAAAGACTATCAGGACCTGGGACCCTGTTGCAGTGCTATGGAAATGTACACAATCCATTTACAAAGGCTTAAGTCTCCTCTAAACGCAATTTCCTGTAAGCCTAATTTTAAATAAAGGGCGCTAGTGCTGTAAAACAAAAATTACAAATACACAAAACAGAATATCAGAAGCTGAGTTTCTTAAGAGAATGCTCACATCAATCACTGCATATCTTTATTCAGTAGCGTTCCAGCTGTAGAAATGCATCCCGAGGCATATTTAATGCCACCAACTTGCCATTACCAATCGCAATCAGGGTGGTGTTTACTGTGGAATACGCAACTAACAGATGATATTGATATGTTGATATTTGCAGCTCCTCCAGAGTTATCATAGGTCTCCTCCTTGGTTAATGCGCTCCTTGCCACTTTCAAATTTTCAGTATTGAGCCTCATGCAACAACAACAAGAAGGTAAAAAAAGAAGGAATCGAGACGTATATGAAAAACTTTGTTGGTAAATATGAAGGACCAGTAAAGTCCAAGCATCGGGAATAAATTACAAGAGCTGTAAATTAGGTGTTGCCTGTTGGTTGCACTGCTAAATAGGTAAAAGAAAAAAGAAAAATATTAGTAAAGAGAAAAATCAATTGATCCACAAAAGTCAATGAAACTAATGGTGAGGGGAAGAAGTGCAACATTACCTGTAAATGCTTAATATGAGTTTGCCATAAACCATCAAGCACAACATGCAGCAAAATCTCCTTTTCATAAATATACAAACATTTATTGTACATCTCCAGACCACATCTGTCATCCCTTCATCTCACTCTTCATCTAGTACAAAGCATAATAAAAATGGTGAAACTCTAATTGGACCAATTCAGACAGACCCAAACCCAAACATTCCACATGTTCTGTAATAACAAAGCCAAGGCGCCACGTTAGGAAGTGAACTGTATGCATGTCTCACTGTTAAAAATGTTTCTAACAACCACTTTCTGAACTTCCATTTTCTGTTCCAGATGTTATTTCAATAGTAGGCTACTCTCACACAGAGGTTACTGACTGACCGTTCTTCAGCCGAAATGACAACAACTAAACCAATGTACCATAGATACTAATATGCCAGCTGCCAGTGTAGTGACCAATAGTTCTCTCATCGGCAAATGTAGCCTTTTAAAATGGGCAAGTACTTCTAACTAACAAGAAATCTAGTCATTTAGTGGAAAAACGAGGTTTGGATAACAGCTGATTGTGCAAGACTGCAAACGACAAGTCTGTAGCACTCATACAATTTGTTCTTACCTGAGAGAAGATTAAAAATACGAGAAAAATGGTAAAAACTGCATTTTTTCCTGAATCATTGTACGAACAAATTAAGAACGAATCCGTTTGTACGAACACTTCTTGCATGAGGCCCAAGGTCTCTAAAAACCTAATGGCCCATCGTATATCATAATATATTTCTTTATTTTGGTCGATGCAAAAGAATTTCGATATAGATATAAACAAAACAAAAGAATGCAAGAATGCCCACAACAAAACTGTGCTTACCTATAACATTTTTTGTGACATGTTTATAAAAAAAAATCAATATAACATTTAAAATATATGCTTTAGAAAAGGATACACAGAAAACTACATTAAACCCAGATGGTATGGTAGCATGATGATAATGGCATGGGGCAGTTTATATCACTGTTCATTTGCAGCAAGAAGGTCCTGTGTTTGACTCCTGTGCCAGGGTCTTTCTGCATGGGGTTTGCATGTTCACCTCATGCATACTTGGGTTCTCTCCAGGTACTCTGGCTTCCATCAAGTCCAAAAACATGACTGTTAGGTTAATTAGCATCTCTAAATTGTTCTTAGGTGTGTGTGCATGGTTGTATTTATCCCTGTCTTTGCATTGCCCTGCAGTAGACTGGCCTTCTGTTGTAACCATTTATAAATACCATGTCCTTCCACTCTTACTCTTACATACTTTTTACTAGACATATACCTGTCCGGATTTTTGGAGCTGATCACTGATCACAGCATCAAATCCATAAGTTCTTTAACGACTGTGTCATGTTCATTGACACTGTATTTTTAGGTATCAATATTATAGGAGACGAGAAATGATCATGAACTGTTGTAGTGAAAGAGGCAGAAAAGAGTTTTTTTTATCAAAAAGAAAGAGAAAATAATGTCGACAAAGGACAAAGGTTGATGCGCAAATGCTATTAAGAGGTTTGTAGGTGGCTTTTATTCCAAAAAAAGTAAAAAAAAAAACAACTCACTGGACTTTGTTTCCAATGTAATCAAACAAAGTCCAATGGATTGTTTTTTAACTTTTTGGAATGACTATGACCTGGATGACTAAGAATCTTCACCAGCTAGGTGGCTTTTAAAAAAGCCATTTAAATTTACCTCTAGAAGCACTGTTTCGTAGTCCTTCCTCCAGCAGGGACACTGACCACAGTCACCTTCCCTCACCACTCCGCCACTGCCGCTCTCTTCTGCTTGGCATGCTCCTCTAATCCTCCCACTTTCATTCTTCCTTCCTGCTCATTCTCTCTGCAGGCTTCTACAAAGTACCTCTGTCTTACATCCAACCAGCAGTCTTATGATATTATGAAAAGGATATCATAAGGCTGGAAACATGGTCAGCTATACCCAGCAACATTTTTTGCTAGGTTTACAGCAATATCTCAGCCTTCCCTAAATGTCTATCCTTTGTTCATTTATTTCTATCCTCTGGCTCATTTTTTATTTTCTGCACAACAGACCTACAAGCATTATATTGTTCGCAGTGCAAAAAATGGAAGTGTATTCAAGGATAATCCCTGACTTCAGGGTAGGTCTGATGGGTTGGGTTTTAGGGTTTGGGGCGCATGCCAGATGGAGGTTAGAAAGTATTGCAAGAATATGTAAGCTATGTTGTGTGGTAGTGCAAGACCCTCGGAGAACAGTTCAGGGGTAGCCAAAATCACTTTGGGTTGTATTCATTTGCTGGCTACAGTGTGTAGATTCCTGTTAAGCATTGAAAATGGCTTGCAGGGAGACAGAGAATAGAGCCACCAAAGAATAAGTCGACTTAACTGTAAGTGTTTGATTTTTTTAAATTCTTTTTCTAGGAGTTACTAAGTGGTGTTGTGTTTTTTGGCTTAACTGCTAGAGCAAAAAAATTTTTTTTTTACAAGACTATCAATATACTGATGAGGTATTATTTGATTACTACCTATTAACAATATGATATTATTAAAATTATGTCATTGGGATTTTTAGAAGTTTAGTTTAAATTTCCCATTACCTTTAAGCCCAATTTATTAACATTAAGAGAAATAAAAGCTTGAAAAATGTAATAGCAGTCACTTTTGAATTGAAATACTGATATTAAACCCATTATAACACCCTATAAAGTATAGACTGAAAGCACATCATACCTACAACAAACATGAGGAGTTGAAATGTTTCTACGGGACCTTCCATATTATCAGAAATAATTAAGGTTCCTTGTGTTGCTGACATTTCCATCCCTATTTCCCCAGAGAGGTACTGCTCTGTTGCTGGAACACCTGGCTGGAAGTCTAGCGAGCACCATCTCCATCACCACCCACTTGGACATTGCACCCCAACACCACCTTTTCATGAAGGGACGCAACGGCAGCAATATCAAACACATAACCCAGAGAACGGGAGCCCAGATCCACTTCCCCGACCCCAATGGCCCCCAGAAAAAATCCACAGTCTACATTCAGGGCACCATCGAATCTGTTTGCCTAGCACGGCAGTATCTTATGGTAAGTTCTTTCTTTGTATTTTTTTTTTCTGCTGACATCCAATCCAATTGTTGAAATTGATTAGTTCAAACTAAACTTTGTTTTGTGGTTTAGAGATGCTAGTGGTAGCATATTCCTTACATACACAGATTCCTTCGACTTTGTGGTAGCTATAATAGATGCCTCTGTCTCATTTACATTATCAGGGTGAGCTGAGTGATGCGTGGTTTTTAAATGGAGTTAGGAGTTTGGGCGGGTGGGGTGGGGGTTGAACCATGATTGCCTCAGGGATCCCGAATAACCTTGAGAGAGGTTTGCTTGCCTCTCCTTTCTCTGCTGAAATATTCCAAAATGGAAAACGATTTTTGACAGTTAGATAGTGTTGTTTGTTTTAACCACATACCTGCATGCAGAATGGACCCTGTCTAGCTGATTTTGGCTTCTGGGCTTCCTGTTGTGTTCATATGCATATTTTTCTAATTGGAGTTAATGATAAAGGTTTGGCCTGCTTGCGGTTGGAATTCATCCGCATATTTCCCCTTCAGAAATGCTCTGTTACCATTCTTGTATTGGATCAAAAGTAGCACCTCGTGATTTTTTTCATGTTGTTAAAAATGCTCAGTGGCCATTTATGTCTTGTTGCCCACAACCACTAAGTCTACTCTTCCCAATAATAACTTTAGAGCATAATAAGAAGTCTGTTTCACAAAAGTGTAAATGTAATGGCTGTTTAATCACTAGTGGCTTGAGCTTCTGCTAAACCAGTCAGGACTTCTCTGTTGTAAACCTTTTGTAAGCTTCTCGTTGTTGCTTAGGAATCCGTAATTTGATGTAACCATTCGGAAAAAGTGCATGTCTTTCTATGTGGTCTCCCTGTTGGTCCCATAGATGCTTAGACAGTGGCGGCGTTGTTTCTAAGAACACACAAGACGACACATCTTTTCTTTCAGTTCCTTAACAGTGGATGGGTCATATAAGAAAGTATGAGCATAGAGAAGATCAATATAGAGGACTAATGGCACATAGAGGATAAAAAGGGAAAGTAAACACAGCAGAAAAGGAAAGGACTGCTACCCACAGTCCAATGGCTTTGTGATTTTGGCCTATATAGATTACTGCCTCTCGGCCAGACAGTAGATTACAGTTCAAGTTTGAGGGCCCTGTCAGAGCCAACCTGCCTCTATAGACTGCTGCTAATTACACCCACACTCAGTTAGAGAGCTGTCCAGTTGTGAGCCCAAAATACAAATCTCTGTGGTGCTTGTGGTAGTGATCGTGCAGAAGAGATTTACGTTGTCGGAATTTCCCGCAGGCTATGAAGCATCGAATCCAGCCATGAAACTCATATTTAACGACATGGGTATATCGGCCTATAAATGGTAGATTATAAAGGAACGTTTACTGCAGTTTTGAGAACGTGTATAATTTATGTACCCAAAAAGGTTATAGACAACAAGTATAGTGTTAAGCAGTGATGCTCACAGTGTAGCAGAATCTATTGCAGTTGGTTATGTCTTGTTTTCTTGTTTTCTTTCACAGGGCTGCTTGCCTTTAGTGTTAATGTTTGACATCAAAGAGGACATTGAGGTGGAACCTCAGTGCATTACAGCACTAATAGAGCAACTGGATGTCTTCATCAGCATAAAACCGAAGCCAAAGCAGCCCAGCAAGGTATGGCACAACACATTATCCCTCCAAAAAGATTATCTTTAGCTATTTGGCTCTATAATCTTGCTAGCTTTTTGATTACATTGTGGGACTCCTCAGAGCTGCACTTTCCATTGTGCTAAAAAAAATAATTGTGTCTGATTACCTATATTCTAAATGTATTACTTTATTAACACACTTGTTTGATTTCTTATTGACAAACCAAACTGTGGATAACCTGACCACAACTTTATGCATTTAGACAGTTCAAGTCGGTAAGGATGAATCCTGAAGTTCAAACCAAGCATTATATTGGGCAAAAAAAGAAGACAAATAACTTTGACCATGGAATGGTTGTTGAAGTATTTCAGGTCTAATGGGCTATTCATATGCAAATATTTATTGGATTTATTAAAGCTCTCCAAAAAAAAAAACGAGAAAATATCCAACCAGCACATGTTGTGTGGATGAAAATTCAATGTAAAGCAGAGGTAAATGTTAATTTTGTGTATTAGTTCATTATGATTTTACAGGGATTTCATGGTCTGCTTAAGTTTTATGGATGTGCCCATCTGATCAAAGAAATTTAGCACCCTGGCGTGCCTTTTTTATTTATTAATTTATTTTGACGCACTTTGATGTTTCATAATTGTGCTTACCTCTGCATTTTAGTTCTCACGAAACTCTGAAACATAATATATTTTTTTATGTTTCGCCTTATATTGTTACTCTCTATATTATTACTCTCCTTTAGGATATATTATGTATCTTAATAATTAAAAGGCAGTTTTTCGTGAACCATTCATTAAAAAACTGGTTTATTTTTATTTTTAGAGAATAATAATTATAATTATTAGATTACATAAGTTTGATCATTTACATCTACGTAAGTCACATACAAGGAAACTTTAATAACGAGAGGGCAGCCTCTATTAGTTTATATTAGTTTTCCCTATGGGAAAAAGGCAGCTTATGTCACATTTGATCTCATGCAATGTTGAGCAGAGGCAGAGAAACAAAAAGCCACTGTGGCATTTTCATACTACTTTCCACCAGCTGTCACAATGTGGCATCAAAATAAATAAATAAAATTGCCTTGCTGCATTTTATTATTGTTTAATAGAGCTGAAAAGAGCAAAAACTGGAACCAAGTAGCAATAGTGGGAAGAGCTCTGGCAAACAGACATCTGCCACTGCAGGGAATTGGAGCCAGCTGTCTCCTTTGCAAACAGGCTGCCAAGCATGTTCCACCTGATTGATGAGAAGTTTGTTCATGTTCTTTCTCAGTTCTTCTGCATAAGAGTAGACCAGCTTATTTTGACCTTTTTTTTTGTCTAAATTGACAATTTTTTTATACATTATAACAGCATGTTGGGCTCTTTTGCAATAACTTTATTCCACACTGTGATTTATTGTCTGTTAAAACAATCACCACCTGCTTTAGATTTAAAAAATGCCTTTAGTCTTACTCACCTTCCGCCTCTCAACAACGTTTAATATTTCTAATGATATTTCAGCACCTAGCTAAAGTACTGACGAGGCTCTTTGCGGTGCCCTGAGGTAGGGCTCCTTGCCCAGAGCAGACAGATCTGCAGGGACTGTTGCAGAGGTGCCAGGGTAAACGGTGACCCAGGGCATACCCACACAGGAACCCTTCACTTAAGTATTTTAACAAGGTGATTGCAGTCCCCTTAAAGGTCTGCTTAAGTGTGGGCTGCACTTTCAGGGCTCCTGGTGCCTGGGCAGGTTTATTAAATAGACGGAGGGGGATTGTGTTTGGGAATCATTTTTCAAGCGCTCAAAACAGTCAAAGTCAGCGAACACTGTGTCTAGGTTATTTTAATATTTAAAATTGGGCGGGGTTTCCAGTAATGCAGCAATTTTTGGAGATAAAATGTTTTCATTTTATCTGACATTGAGAACTTCAGTTATTTCCAAATTTTCTTATATCAGAAAAATAGATAGGCGATAGATTTTTAGCAGCTGATGTAAAAATGCCTTCTCTCGAACATTGCTCCCATGTCTCTCCCACACTCCCTTAATGTTTATCCTTCTAATCTGCTCTTAATTCCCTCTTCCTTCCTCCTATTTCTTGTTGTCTCCCCCCTTAGTCTCCCTCGGACTCCCTATCTTTTCTGCCAACATTCCCTGTCCTATCTTTCCCTCACTCCTCCAAATGATCTTTTTTTTTCTCATGCCCTCACTTCCCCTCATCCTTTGCTCCTTTCCTTCTTTTTTTACTATTTTTTTTATTTTTCCAGACTATTTTTGATCTTCTGCTTTCTCTCCTAGTCGGTCATCGTGAAGAGTGTGGAAAGAAATGCTGTCAACATGTACGAAGCTCGGAAATTCCTCTTGGGTCTTGAAAGCAATGGGGTGTCCTCCTCTTCACCCTCCCTGGCACTGAATCCCCCCAATAATGGTCCATCGCCATCCCTCATTTGCCCTGTCGGCCTGGACATCCTGACCTCAGCTGGCCTGGGGCTGAGTAATCTGGGTAACAATCCTATCCAAATTCTTTTTTATTTTCTTATTTTCTTCTGGTGGCATTCCAGATGTTTTTTTTTCCATGATGCAGAAAATATAAATCTTTTTAAAGAAATACGATGTCTTTCTTTTATGAGTTACACAGTGTAGAAATTTCCTGACCGTATGATAAGTCTCCTCATAAATCAGTTCTACTTCTTGTCTGCATTCAGCTAAATGACCTATGGCTTTACAGATGTCTTCAAACTGTGATCTTGATGCTTTCTGCAGAATCCTTCTCTACAGGTGGCTTTTATGCACACACAGATACCATCAGAATCCACATGACATTTTATGGTGCTGTTCCTCTAAATTTCTTGCCATCCATTCATATTTGACCCACAAACAATCACAAAATAGCAGGAGCGCAGGTTTTCTTGCTCAAGCAGAATTAGCATCAGCATATGTTTGAGGCGATAAACAGCTCTGTTCACTTTAAGAACTTTTCAACTTAGATTATATCTATATTTCTCAATTGCCAAGAAACTAAATGAAAAACCACTAAGGTGAATGAAATCTACTAATTAGTTGGAGGCTTTGCCTCAGGAAAAAATTGTTATGGGGAAACATAATGTAAAACACACAAGAGAACCTCTCCAATAATATTGAAATAATCACTCATGAAAGTAAAGACATAACCAGAGGAAAACACCAAGAAATATGCAAAAGAAATAGACTAGAAGATAACTGAAAAAGGTAAACACATCAAATTAATATGGCAAAAATAATGGACAATAATTAATAACAGGCTTAAGGCAAAATCAAAACACAAAATTCTTCAAGTAAAAAATAAAAACCAAAGAAGGAAAAACAAGGATTCAGTTTAACTAGAATAGTTCTATAGATAATATAACATTAAAACGTGAAAAAAAAGCTAATACTTAAAGCTCAAAATAAAAAATTGAGAAAACTAATACTCAAAAGTAAGGCAAAACACTCAGAAGAGTACCAAAGGGCTATAGAGACATAAAGTAAAATTAAAAATGCTGTATGAAAAATAATAAAATCAAAGAAAGAAGTTCATCATGAGCAAACAGTATTTGCAATATGTCATTTGGCCACATCGTTGTGTCTTCTCGCTTGGTCAGGCCACAGAACCGCATCCACATCACAGGCCACATCCTCCTTGGCCAAACGGGGAGAGAAAAAGCCCCTAGCATGTCGGATCCAGGCTTGGCATGTCTTCACACCTATCCCCTCACTAGCCAATTCCATCGCCTCCAGGAGGTTTTCTCTGTTGTAAGATTGCCTATTATAAACCTTCTACCACCAAGAAGAGGAAAACTCCTTTTAGCAGGTTCAAAAGAGGGGATTATGTGGAGGGCAAACATTGATAAAATTCTCATTTAAAAGGAACGATTCCCTCACCTAGGCTGCGCGGCAGAAACTTACAAAACATAATACACAGTGTTTTCCAGGTCCTGCCACATGGTCCAGCTTTAGCATGATTATGGCTGCAGAGAGTGGGATGTTACCACAGCGCTGACCGGGAGCAGCGACAATGACACATTGACTCATCTAATTTCTGCCTCTCCTTCTCCTTTTGGCCAAAAAGAAACTCATTTCATCCAAAAATGTATTTGTGGAGTTGGTTCATTGAATCCAACTGGAAAAAAATCTTTACACACACAAAAGAATGCAAATTTAAAAGATAAAATGAAAAACCAGTTCACGGGGAAATCTTTATTCTTTAACACTTTTTGAGTTTCACTCAAAAGGCACTCTGTACACTTCTTTAATGCACAGCCTATATTACGTTTGAGGACACGGTTAGCGGAGATGCTGATGTCATCTATTAAATGCTGACGCCATTTATTAAATTATTCAAATTTACATCCACGACCCCCCTCAAAGACCACCTTTTTTACATGTTCTCTTTGTCTTCTGCTCTGCTTTCCGCTATTTCCTTGCTAAACCTTGACCTTCTACAGCTTCTTTAACTGGCTTATATTGGTTTCCTCATTCATCAGACAAAAGTGCAATAGATTTTGAGTCATTGTGTTTAGCCACTGATACCCACCATTGTGATCCGTGTGCAGCAAGTGTTTACCATTTTGCAAAGCATTTTGCATGTGTTTGCAAGCAGTGGGTACTGATGTAAAACATGCTTTGGGTTTTGATCACAATGCAGCTAATTCAATGCCTTTGGCTCTTAGAAAAGGAGTTAATCTTTAAGTAACTGAGACTGTAATATCCTGGTCCATTTGTGGTGTAAGTCTGTGGTGTAAGATTTTGAAGATGTGGTCTTATTGGTGTTATTTATGTCATATATTAAAGATACACAGATCAGAATTTTGTAGCTGGTTTTGGATCTATAGTTTAACTTGTTTTCTATTCCCTTTTTTTAATAGTCGTTCTATATTTTGCCTTTTTTTTTTTTACCAATAAAGCACGTTTCATTTAAGTATGTTAATTTTTTCTTCAAAAAAGGTTTTAATTTTTGTATCTCATAAAATAAATTTGTTTTTTGTTATTCATGTGTGTAAGGGTTTGGTTGAGGTTTGAGGACCCAGATGCAGAGGCAGAGAGGCTGAGGAGATGTCTTGCAGTTTTAATGGTGAAAAAACAGTAACAAAGGCAGGAATCCAAAAATCCAACTAATAACGTTAAGCAAACCAGAAATATGGAGACATCTGGGGAAACCAAACATGAGGAGCCAGGGAGAGACGAGGTAGGTAGACAACAACATGGGAAGACAGCAAAGACAAAGAACCAACAAGGAGTTGCAGCAGAGGGAGAGAATATATAGCTGACTGAGACAAAGGCAGGGCTAACGAGCAGATGAGGAGCAGGTGTGAGAGGAGACAACGAGGGAGCCAAGGGGAAAGGAACACACACACAAGAGGTCAACAGAGGACAACAGAAAAACATGAGAACTAACATAAATCTAGAAATTACAACAAAACAGGAATTAAACCAATAAAACTAGGAAACATAGAGCAAAGTAAAGCACAACAGAAACAAGACCATGACAATGTGAGAAACTTGATTTTTAAAGTTCCATCTGCAGCAAGCAAAGGTTTTAATTAAGCTCTTGAAATGTATTTATTCATAAGAAAATTAGGGAAATAATGCAATAGCTTTAGGCTCAGTTGGACTGTAAGAAAAAAAAAATCTCTCTAGTATCCCTTTACAAAAAATCAAAAACATCAGACTGTAATCTTAGATGTCCAATAAATTATTTAGGAATTTCGCTTTTAAAAATTTGATCCAGACATTCACATTATCTCTACAATTAGATTTTATTAAAGCAGGATGCTCAGGATTCAAGGATTTGCAGTGCAGGATGTCTTTTGTGTGACTTTCTTCCTGATTCATGTTTTTCATTCTCCAAACGAACATTTATTTCTTGGAAGAACGTTGATCTTTGATGAGGTTTTCTTCAAACTTTATTATTATTTTCACCATACATAATTTTTTGTCAATATACATCTCCTGAAGATAAAGGGTCAGAAAGAGCAACAAGGCTCTAATATGTTGAGCGTTCCCTATTAAGGAAACAGCTTTGCTACACAGAACATACTTTTTGTTCTTACCAAGAATGAATTATTCACCTCAAAACAACGCTCCTCCATACCAGTTCCCATATCAATGATTGAAGGCAGGTCTTAATCCCTGCTGCAACCACACTCTACAATGCGATACTACAACTGCAATACCATGTGCAATGGATAATGTGCAATTTACCATATGATAACCTGTGCAATAACAGTTTCTCTATATTTGACATCCAGTGCTATGAATATATATATAGATATAAATATCCATCCATATAAATACTCGGTTAAACACCCTGTGCAATAACACGGTATAATGATCCTAGTAGAAAAAAGCTGTCATATGTGGACACACTGTATATACTGTATATATTCCATGCACCTTTTTCTTTCTTTTGCACATTCTTCTTCTTTGATTATTTCAGCTTATGTAAAGAGTAACTTTCTCCACTGTGAGATCAATATGTCAATCAATCTATCAATCAATTATCAAAGAAAGCTGTTGTTGTGGTAACCTGGTCAATAATCAGAAAAGGTTTGGATGAACCTGAAAATCTAATCTTTCAATTAGGTTTCATCTGGTTATTGAAAATAAAAAGGATTTTTAAATGATTTTCCATCAATAAAAACAATTTAAAATCTATTCAGTAGTTTTATATTGTGTTCTAAAGAGGTGAGATGTTTGTATTTGTCTCATTGGAAGCAGGTTCTGTCAGCAATATAGATTTTTGTTGCCATTTATTTGTCAGAGTTTCTCATATTCAGCACTTTCACTGATCATTATTAAGATATAAAGTGTGTGGCTAGTTAAAAGGTTCCTTTGCTCGCTTAAATGTGTAAATTGGTGAAGGGAAACCCACTACATTGGTCATTTTTTTTGCTGTTTCATTTGAACCCAGGGGCCCGGGGGTTATGCTGTGGATGGCCACATCCTGGCCTTTAGTAATTGCTACATGCTTCTCTTCCTCAGATTACAGGCCCGCCTGCCAGAAGAATCCCAGGTCTTATTCCTGGAGCCAAAGTAGCTCCTTATGAAAGCCACAGACCTGTTTCTTTCTGTTTTCATACACTGTGTTTGGGTTAAAACGCCAGGCTCCATATCGTTGGTGCTTTCAGTAACATGGGTTTATTGGGTACGAGGATACACTGAATATATGCTTTTGTTTCCACAACCTTGGAGAAATGTAAGAAATCCTTCCTCTCATTTGCTGTCTGGTTGCAGTTTGATGGAATTCCAGTAAAATAGCTTGAAAACCGAGCTTGTTTTCTGAGGGCCTCACCGTACCGTATGATTAGCTGGAAATATGGCTCTGCACTTTTACAAGATCACCACTGATCTGTTCACTTTTTTTTTCTCCATTTCTCTCTGATCTCCACAGGTTTCTTAGGTGCAACAGCACCCCATTCCCTCCCCACATCTCCTACTCCAAACACCGTTTTGAACAGTTTAAACTCAGCTCTGAGCCCGCTGCAGACACCCAACCCAAACACTCCCACCCCACCCCCCTCTATGTGGCCTAGCTCGCTCACCAGCACCCAAAGTTTGTATAAAGAGCTACCTTTGAATACTTTTTCTTGAGGTTTTGCTTTAGTTTAGTTTTTAATCTGTTGATCATCCAAATTTACAAACTAGTCGGTTTCTCTCATCTTTCCTTACAGGCTTCACGTCACAGCTAGTGCTGCATCCTGCAGCTCAGGCCACTCTAAGCAGCATCCTAATGTCAGGAGTGCAGAGTTACACACACAGCACACCATCTCCTCCGCCGGGCCTAGCCCCTATAGACAAGCAGCCAAACGGGGTCCCTGAATGCGCTCTTAATGGACATGTCAAGGTTGGCCTTGTTTCTTATTTATTCAACATTTACACTTTTGTACAAATAATTTATTATATTTTTGTGTCGTCCTCTCTCCTTGTGTAGCATCCTTATGGGAGATTAGCACCAGCATCGCTCACAGAAACGGTTTTAAGTCCAACGCCATGCGACTCGGCCCAGGAGGCCAGCGGACACAACCCTTCAGAGCCACTGTCAAGCAAATCCAACCCAGATGAAGGTATTCCTCAAACAGAAATACAACAGTCCCGAGCTAAAAGCGTGCAAAATGATCACAACACCAAAATTATGGAAAGTTTATTCATTAATGCATCTTCATGCTGTTTGTTTTGTTTAAATAATTTGCCTCTCATTCATGACATTTTGCCCTGTTCCCATTCCACCATTATATATGTTTAGCGCAGTAGGGTGATTTATATGTTTTCATGACCTTGGTTGGACTGAAATTTTGAGCAGTTAAAATTTTCGACTCCTCTTTGCTGGAATCCAGCCACCATAGCCAAACATAAATGTCCAAATCACAGTTTTCCACTTTAGATTTATGTTGCTCTGAAAACCACACTGAGGGAAATGTGTAAAGCTAACGTCCTTTTCCTCTATAATGTCCATCCGACCTTGTTCACTGCATTTCTTTTCACTGGAGACTGATTAACTGCTGCTCTCCTAGCGGTTCAGAAAGGACCTTCATTTCCTCCTGTGAGGTTCTGCCCTTAAAGGTTCACTCTCACGCGGCTCGGTTTTCCTAACCGCTTTCTGAGCCGCTTGAACCTCGCCTTCCTGGTGCGTACTGCTAAACTTCCCCCCACTTTCTTTCACCTCCTCCTGTGTCCCATGATATGTTTGGATGGGCTTGGGCCGTCCGTCTCACCCCTGCATTGTGGATTGTCTGAGCTTGGAGAAATAATGCAAGTCAAATGGTTTACAAGTATGCAAACACATGGTGTTGCATAGAGCAGGTTCATTTCATATGTGTAACATATGGAAGTCATCATCGTCTCAGCTGCTGTGTTTTTAATTAATCCTGAATCTGACTAAGATGTTAACACATATGTGAGACACATAGGGTGGCTTGGTGAATGCACAGTCCTCTAATATTTTAGCTGTTTCTTCATGTTTTGCTTTTTTTCTCCCTAATTTTGGCCGAATGTTTTTGTTTCCCTTCAGGCTCAGACACATTTGTGGAAGTGGGCATGCCGAGGAGCCCCTCTCATTCAGCCAATGGGAGTGAACTGAAACAGATGCTGGCTTCATGCAAGACGTCATCTGGGAAGCGACAGGCTGTCGAGCTCCTGCAGGGCACCAAGAACTCCCATCTACAGTATGTCTATTAAAATCATTCAAAGCCTTTCTTCCTTTGGCATTGCCTCGCAGGTTTTTCATTGGGATAAAATGGTATCTGGCTGAAATTAAACACAAATCTACAGATTTTGTTTTAATTAAGTCAAGATGTTGCTACATAAATGACAGATGGTTAGTTATTCCCGCAGAGTAACAAGGATTTAGCCACTTAAGGTGTTGGCTGCCACATGGGCCATGTTGCACACTAATCTGGACAGGATTGTCACTGGGAGAGCCAACTGCATCCACATAGCAACATCTTCAAACTTCAGGAGAAGATGAGATGCACATACAGTAACAAATGAAAACTGTTGTATTGTTTTCTTTGTAATTCCACCAGTTCTGACTGTCTCCTGTCGGACGCTGAGTCCAGCTCATCGGACGGGCCTGTGGCAGATAAGAGGGCGCCGGGGAGCGAGCGGGCAGCTGAACGGGCAGCACAGCAGAATGAGAGAGAGAGGATCAGACTGGCACCACAGACCTCTTTTGCCAACATGCAGGTATACATTAAAAAAAAACGGGAGAAATGGTGTTTAGCTGTGCTGAGACATAAGCAGATCAAACTGTGATCTGCTTCCTTTAGGCATTTGACTACGAACAGAAAAAGCTGTTGGCAACCAAAGGTCAGTTTATCCTGCATTATGTACCATAATATTGTTTTTTGCATATCAAATCACAATTTTTTTATCTTCAACTGTATTATGTTTGATGTGGTTCTTCATAGCAATGTTAAAGAAGCCTGTGGTGACAGAGGTACGAACCCCAACAAACACTTGGAGCGGTCTGGGCTTTTCCAAATCCATGCCAGCTGAGACCATCAAGGAGCTGCGGAGGGCCAATCACGTCTCATATAAACCCAGCATGAGCACCACTTATGAGGTACACAGCCAACATTAACCATCCCAGACACAAGTATTGGCAGCGTGATAAAGATGTATGGAAACTTTAGATTAAACTCAGGTTTTATTAGTAGCATCATCCCATATTTACAACATTTTAAGCTTTGGAGAAATATCATAATAATGTTTGCTGCAGATTAAGTTAGAATAGAAATTTTTCACATTAAAGACAAACTACCAAATTAACTTTTAGGCTTGTTGCTATTGTCTCACAGTGAATTACGTAATAAAATAAACATCTTGCTCGTTAATCAGTCAATTAAAACTAAAAGTGACAAGACTGCCTTATGTTTTATGTGTATAGGAGTCTTTAAAGTATTTAATAAGTAAGGAATAGTTTTTTTTTTTTATTTATGAACAGGAATGCTTTTTTCTAACTGAATTATTATATTTATATATAAGATATTATGTTTTTTTTCTCCCTAAGTTTTTATTGTAAGATTGAGTCTCTACAATAAAAGATCAACATTTTCATAAATAAATTAATATTAAATAAAATAAAATTCTACATCTTGTCAGTTGTAATGGACAAGATTCCTACAGAGGTACATTTTATATTCCATACATTTCAAAGCAACATTTTCTAGATTTTTACATCACTTTTTATATATCTTTGTGTGTAAAACAGGTATTTTTTTTAATTTATTTTCATTATAAATTACAAACCAAACTTTGTGCTGAAGCTGGTTTTAAGGAAGCTGGTGAAACAAAAACTTGGAATAGATCATTTTAAATCTGTCCCAAATACAAATTGATCTACACACCCAAAAAGCTGTAAATTACATTTTTTGTTTGCTTTTCTTTTTTTATTAGTTTGCATTTAACCATTTTTAAACCAAAAAAATTCAATAAGTTGAACAAAGTTTTAAAAGGTGATGTAATAATGAAAAGATATGTTTTACAAAAAGAATAAGTAAAAAAAAAGACTCAGACTTAGAAAATTATCAAATCAAAAATCTTTTTAGACCTTTTAAGGCTATGCAGTTTCATTTAAATTTGACCTTTTTCTGTTTTGTTTTACTCTGTATTCTAACCCTTTTTATTTATATTTTGAGTGACACCCTTAATGTTTTGGTTCTCCTTTCATGTTGTTACGTTTTAGGGTTCTCCGCTGTCTTTGTCTCGATCCGGCAGCAGAGAAGGCGTGGGGAGTGGCAGTGACTCAGATAACTGGAGGGAAAGAAACGGGAACGGGCTGCCGAACCACACAGAGTTCCCCTCTGCTGTCAGCAGTCCGAAGAGAAAGCAAAACAAATCTGGTCTGAGTTTAAAACCCTCTTTACTTCATACTGTTAACTTTTTCTGCTTCTGATTTGTAACTTTAAGATAGAAATGTTCTATTTTAGTAAGGTTTGTTAAGAATTTAAATTGAATAGTAATTAAAATGATTAATAATATATAAGAAAAATAATAATAATAATTTTGTTTAAACGTATTGGTTTCTGATTGGTTGCTCTCATTCTTGGTTGTGCAGTTGCAGAGCATTACCTCAGCAGCAGCAACTACATGGACTCGATCTCCTCAGTAACTGGCAGCAACGGCTGCAACCTGAATTCTTCCCTGAAAGGCTCAGACCTTCCTGAGCTCTTCAGCAAACTGGGTTTAGGGAAGTACACCGACATCTTCCAGCAGCAGGAGGTAGAGAGTTGGTGCACCTCCTCTGTTCTATTAATTTTCTATCAATCCTTTTCTTTCAAAGCTTTGGCCACACTGTGGTTTTAGGAGGAAAAACCTTTTTAAAAAACTTCAGTAATGACCTCCTGTGCACCTCGTGTGACTTATCCATATGTAAAATTTAAGTGGTAAGCAATGGATGATTAAGTGGATGTAATGTCTTTGTTGTTTTGGTTTTAGAACATGGAAGGCCGTGACAGTCGTCTTATTTATTTTATTATAAGGTCTTTATTTGTTTAAATCACTAATTTTATTTTCACTGTTAAGTATTTTATTCTGTTAAAATCAGCTCTTAACATCTTTGTTTGAACAGTTTAATGTGAAACTCATCTCCTACTGAAACAAACACTAATGACATGTTGAGAAATGTTAAAGCTGAATTTTAACTTGATCCATTAATTAAGCAATAAAAACACTGAAGAAAGAACTTTTAATGTTAAAGTAAAGAATTATACATATAAATATTTCTCAGAAAAATAATCCTATCATTACACTTTATTGCATATTTAAGTTGGGTCCAAATCCCAAGATTCTCAAGGATGAAGGGTGAAGTTGATGACAATAGGACAACCCAGAAGAAATATTAGGAAAGAGGTTAACCACATTTTGCATTTTGTTTCTACCAGTGCCTGTCAAATTTGGAGATGCGTGAAAGAAAGCTGTTATTATTTCAGTATTCCACAATAACATGCCAAAAAAAAAAAAAAAAAAATGTTGGTCAAATAATTCTTTAAAATATTTCTATAATTTAAGGTTTTACTTAAGTTGCAATATTTCTAATTTTAACTATTGTCTTTAAAGTCTATTAAATAAATAAATAATATTCTATATTATTGTTCTAATAAATCCTTATTTCTTTTTTTTCTTCTTCAGATCGATCTCCAGACATTCCTGACTCTCACAGACCAGGACCTGAAGGAACTAGGAATCACTACATTTGGTGCCCGCAGGAAAATGCTACTTGCTATTTCAGGTATAAATAAAGAAGAGGATGGTATCTGTTTTGTGTTTTATGGAATTATTAGCTGCCCTTTAAAGGCACATGGGGAAAACATTGTCGTAAGAAGCAGTTCAGTGCAAAGAGACACACTTCAGTATCAGTTTGTTCTTTTTCTTGGTGTTCATCTAATGCCACCTGAAGCCTTATGTCCTTAGTCCCCCCTGATAATCAAAGTACGGTACTGTTTCCTATATTTTTACGAAAAACCTGAGTAGATCATAGCTCTAAAGACGTGATGGAGATGAGCTCTGACATACAGCTCGTTGCTCTGCTATCCCTCTTTAAGAAGACAAATCAAAATAATAGCTTTCCTATTTTATTTCCTAAATCAAAAACTAAAATCCCTATCTAGACATTTTCTGTAAAACAAAGAAATCATTCAGTCAAAAACAGACCAGTTAGAGATCTGTCTTTTGCTGCATCTCTGAAAAAACTACAAATGTAGTAATCAGGGCTGTAGCTAACGATTATTTTGCGAATCAATTAATCTGTCGATTATATTTGCGATTATTTGATTAATAATCAGATAGCAAAAGATTTTTTACAACATTAAACCAGATGAAACTAAAACTTTTCCACTTGAGGAATTCTGGATGGAGCATATTGACAGACAAAAAAAATAAAAATGAAATATATATATATATATATATATATATATATATATTTTTTTTTTTTTTTTTTTTTATCTTAAATGCAAAATGTGTACTTTTTTTGTACAATTTTGGTATAATTGCTGCTCAAGGTGGGTTGCTCTGTCAGCTAAAGGCACATTTTACAATCTCTATGCTCCAGTTGATGAGTAATCCTTTACTAAATTTGTTAATGATTATTTCAGTAATCGATTAATCACAATTAATCCGAATAATTGCTTTATCCCTAGTGGTAATTATTTCCCAGTCAGATAACTCCAAATAAACATCTATTAGAAACTTCTTTGCTAGTCAGATGAAAGATGACTTGCAGTTTTCCGTTGCACACTTCAAACTGTTCTGTGCACCATATCCCAAGGCTTAATTCATACACAAAATAGTTATTTCAGAATCAAAAAAAATTGTCCAATTTGAGGAGAAGGAACAACCTTCATATTGTTTGATTTTCTGTCATTTTTTGAGAGTAATACATTCTTCCTTGTGCATGCGCAGGAGTCTAATCAGTTTTTTGTCATCAAATTATTCATTGTTCAGAGTAGGACAATATGCTGCATATATGCTGTGTTTGTTAGAAAGAGAGAGAGACAGAACACTTACATCTCTGCAGATTATCTGGATTTACCTCGTTTTCCAAAATAAGAAAAAGAATGATTACAAAGTTAGATAATTTTGCTGATTTAGCTACTGCTGCTCGATTGTTGCTGATTTACACTCGGTATAATGTGAAAGTGGTGGGTGTCGGACTTCACTACTGACATCATTTTTGGAGGCTGTAGCAGCTGGAGATTCTGTGAGAGTTCAGTGCACTAAATTCCAAGTCGATCCAGGGTGAGGTGGTAAGGGGAAATATCGACGCCTGATCTGATTATTAGGGGTGCAGTTTTCTAAAGGCCAAATCTGGTTTTGATGCCAAGTACTGGTCAGCTTTCATCTCAACTGACTATTTCTAGGTCTTTAAAACTGAAATATGCATGATTCTGTCTGTCTTATCCTTTTTGTATTTTCCTTCTTAAAAAGGGTTTAAAATTCCTGCTCCCCTGCCAGTAAAAAGGGCTGCTGCCGCAAGTTGCCTGTCTCCAGGAATCAAAGTGGAGGTTTATGCTGGCAGCAACAGAACTCTGCTATCAAATGAACAAGCTATAGATGCCAGCTTAGTCTGTTGTACATTTTTTGTCTTATTCTAACATAAATCTAGATGACCACAAAGACAGCTTTTGTTGGTCTGAGCCATTCTGTGGTGATTTGAATCTTATTTTCTTGTCGCTGTTGATCAGTGGAGGTTTAGGAAAATTGTCAACAATCCTCTTGGCTGTGTTTATTTATCCACTTTGATTTGCTACAATTCCCGAAGCAGCACTTAGAAAAGGGGATGCCCATGTCTGGGATGGAGCCTTTATCACCTTTGCATGTGTTGAAATTTTGTGGTTGTGCTTTTTTTTTTTCAGAACTAAACAAGAACCGCAGGAAGCTTTTCGAGCCACCCATCAGGTCCTCCTTCTTGGAAGGGGGAGCTAGCGGCCGACTTTCCCGCCAGTTTCATGCAGACATGGCTAGTGTCAGCGGCCGATGGTAGACGTCGTTTCCCCGGAAACCATCCGTAAAGACTGTGTTTTTCATTGGTGCACAAGTTCCTGCAGTTGTGTACTCCTACTTCATTCTTGTAAACTTTTGCGTTAATATGCAAAACGAAGTCTGTTTTTTTTTATTTTGTTTTTTTAAGCCATAGTTTTACCTGAAGTGCCAACTAAAAATAAGGGATTTTTTCAGTGTTAACTCCTTACAGCAACTCTATCTAAAGCATTCCTAAAGGGATGCTAACAGTATGGTTCAAAAGAAGGGTACTGTCCAGTATTTGTCTCCAGGTTTTTCATAAAGGGAACAGGCAGAATGATTAGTATAATCCTTTTACCGATTGATACTACCTGCATTCGTATTATGCGATTGTATCAGTGATATGCACTTTATTACTAGATTTTTGCCTGTCGGAGCCTTACTCTTTACAATGAAGGAATATAATCTATAGTTTGTTTGTTTTTTTCTATAGAATGAAAGCACAGATGCATTTTGTACCAAAAAATAAATGCAAGGAAGCACTTAGCCAGTGAGATTAAGACTCCTCCAAATGAAGTAGGTCTCCACACCCAAGCAGTGACTCCGTCTGCTTTAAAGAACTAGTTTTGATTCATGAAGCAAGGTTCTGTTAAGAATCTTTAAGCAACTGATATATGACATTCAGAAGATGATTTACGATCTTGGTTTACTATAAATCGAGATGATAGGTCTTGTAGCTGAAGCTTGTTACACCGTTATCATATTTGCATACGATGGCTGATTACGCTGAAGCCTAATAGGAAATGAATGATAGGAAATGAATGCTGAAGGCGGTGCGCCATTTATAATCTTCCCACGTACTGAGAGCAGAAAAAAAATGTAAGGCATTTCAGGTTCGAGTAAACGCGTGATATAAAAGTAAAGCACTGTTAAAATGAATAAAGTTGCATTTGCCTGATCTGCTACGATAATCTTCCTTTTATATCAGTTACTCTAAAAAGATGCCACATGTTCCTTTATCAGTACATGTTTGACACTTGATGATTATTGGTGGCTCCATAACCACCCGATGCAGACATAGCGATTGGTTGAAGTTTTCTAAAATCATTTTACTTCTGTTTGTTCTCAATCACTTTCAGACCAGTTGTTAGCTTTAGCCCTCAACACCAACTGCTCACAACCTTGCTTCTTAAATTCTTAAAGCAAAATAAACCAAAGAAAATAACAGTGGCCTTTAACCTCTAGCTGTCCGTAGTGTGTCGGAAGGAATCCTTTTTGTCTGTTTATATCAAGGCGAAGCTCTTTTGTATTCTTTCATTATGATTTAATGTTATTATTACTAGTTTAGGCAAATGAGTGGAATGTTTGTTGTTAATCAGTTTACATATGTATTTTTATATTTTTGTGACGAGTTTTATTGATTTTAATGTGTTTTTGCATTTATTGTATCTTATAATTTTTTTTCTGCCCTTAAATCTGTGGAGCCATAATATGGCTGTGCCATTACCCAGCAGCAGAGACATGAGGCGGTCAAACTAAGCCTTAAAAGCCCTGATTGTCTCATAGTGCATGTCTCATCCATTATTTGTGATGCCCTTTAAATCTCTACTCGCTATTACTTGTATCCAGAATTTGAGGTACTCTACTCAACACTTGCGTGCCATTTTATTTTACAACAGGGCAAAGCTGTGCATTTGTAGCACTAAGTGCCTATATACGAAAGTTTTTTTTCAGCAAGGAGAAATTTTAATACTTAGGTATGACTTTCCTTGTCCAGATTGAACTTGTATCAGACAAAAAAAAAAATGCATTAGCAGCAATGCTTGTCTAGTGTGAGACTTTCTGCAGACACAAATATGGAGAGAGAAATATCGCCAAAAGGTCTGAGATTTAAGAGAAAAACAAAGAAAAATGTGGATTTTTCTACTATCAGACGTTTAATCTAATATCCAACAAACCTTGTTAAGCAGGCTTCAGTGAAGTAACAGGATTCTAAAAGCATTAATGTTTATAATTGGAGCCTTTGCTTGTTCTGTATTCGTCTTGGACATTTCTGGCATGTGTTTTCAAAAGGAGGAACATAATTTCCCAGCAGATCATTAACGGATGAGTGAAATATTTTTTTCTTTTTTTTTTATGGTATTCTTAAACCATTTCTGATTTAATCTAGAAACTATCTGCTAATATCCTGAGCGTTTCCAAGTGCAATGAGTTGGCTCGTTGTAAAGTAAATTTTTGTTCATATTTGCAGTGCATTCATTCTAAAAGGGAAGAATGAGAAGAGCATTGTTTGAACAAAGAGTGTATAAAATCCCTGATTCATATTATTTTTATAAATTTCATAAAAAAACAAAAGCTAAAGGGAATCACTTTTCAAATCTGATTTCAGTTGTTTTTCGTGTGGCTTTGCTGAATAATATTCTGACATGGGTGCTAATGCAGACCAGGTACATCAGTCTATTTTATTTCAATTCTTTTTGAAGTCTTAAAATATGAAGAGTTTGGGATCCTGTTTTCTGAGAGGAAACCATGGTTTGTTTTACCTCCACACATCATGTTACTTAGATCTGGAGTTCTTGAGCACCCCACCCCTCAGCAGTGCTGCGACGCGTGTTCCTGCTCTGGCAGACATTTGTTTTCTCCCTTCTCATACTTCAGAAGGACAGCAGGGTTTAGAAAATTATCCATGTTTGGCCTTGCAGGTCAAAAAAATATTTAACAAGTTCAAATTTACCACCACCTTGTTAAACCTTTGTCCTCAGTTCTATTTTCTCGATTATGTCTTAGAGTTATACTATTGTTCTTTGCAAGATGGTGTATTTGCAGGACCTTTATACTGCAGTTGAATGGTACATTTATAGTAAATGTAAACCACTACACAAATTATGGTTTAATGTTTTTGTTTTTTGTTTTGTTTTTTATATTCAGCTGTTATTTTTTTTTTAATACAGGTACAATTATTTTCAATGTTCCAGGAATTAAACGGTGTGTGAAACATTTCCATAAGGCTAAAGTTCTGTTCACGTACCATCTGTTGATACTGATGTTATTCTAACTGTACGGTAGCACATATATAAGCAGAAAACATCTGGCAGAAAAAAAAAAAAGTTTGCTCAAAGATTCAAATATGAAGGAAATAAAGTTATGTAAAAACATGTGTGGGACTTTTCATTTTACCAAAGAAAAAAAAAATATTATCAATAGTATGTTCAGTTTTACGGAATTAGATATGCTATTTATCTTAAATATTGTTTTTGAAAAAATGAATAAATCCAACCATTCCTAAGATTTACAGTCCTTTTAAATAGATACAAGAAAAAAAAATGCTTGAGTAATTGTAGTAATTGAATTCTACCTATATAGCATATACTAAATTCATCTCTGTGTGTGCTGCACACTGCTGATCAGCAGTACAAAGGTAACAACAAAATAAAGATAAATTGATTCATTAAATGCTATTTTAAATATCCAACCAGTGTTTTTAAGGTTCACTTTCTTAAATGTACAATGTAAAAGCTGCTAGCAATAAGAAAGTCACCTTTAAGGTGGCTGACCAATCAGATGGAGCTAATCAGTGCAACTAATCAAACAGCCCATAGCCACTAACTCTATGTTGGAAAAGAGACAATTGAAAACAAACACCAGAGAACTAAAGCTCCATGAAGTATCAAACAATAATATATAAATGATATAAAATTACATTATAGGATAAAAAAATATACATTTTAGCAGCATTTTGGTTTTTATTTTGTTATAGATTTGAGCAGATGGACGGATGGATACACTGATATACAGCAAAGATTAATAAAATTCTTGAAAACAGTAATACTTTTAATTAAATATTTTCCCAGTGGCCGTTTTTTTATTTTTTTTTGTCCTACTCAGCTTTGAAATGGTAAGTAGTACAATGCAGGACAGTAAAATTCTCATTTGATATCATAAAGAGATATATAATGTGTCTTTTTTACAGCATTTGTAAAAGACAAGGTCTCCATGGTGTTAACAGCTGTGTAGTTATATTGAAAAACTCAAGAGGGCAGTGTTATCATTAAACAAGTAGGAATTCAGCTTATAAGTCTTATAAATAATGTGTCGTGTGTATCTCTATTTTTGATGTTAATGTAATTTCTTTTAAACATCAGCTCTCCTCTTATGAGAATGTTGTGTAGAACAAACTGACTTTCTGTGATTCTAATGACACTTTCAATAAGACTTTAGTTTAAAATGTTTTTTTTTTTTTATAAAAGCAGAATGAAATGTTTTATTGTTTTTTCTTTTATTCAGTTTCACAGTGTAGCCTTTTCTAGCAACATATTATTGTTCATGTGGCACAGAGAGACATGGTGTGTGTCCCATCCAGGCCCTCAGCAGAAACAGGTGGTGCTTCTGAACCCTGTTCTGTGGGATGCCAGTGACTCACCCATTCTCTCCTCCCCCTCATTAATTAAAACAGGTGCTCGGCCAAGGGAAAAACACAGAACGCCTTCATGTTTGTGTAACACCACAGCACAGAATAAGATGTAAATACTGGTCTGTAAAAGCTAAGGAGCCCAGCGTTAATGTGTGGGAGGGATGCTAGGAAAACATTCATTATGGTGTCTTTGCCAATTCTCTATGTGATAAACAGACCAAAAGCCCTTTAAATATAGTTTATTTAGAAGATATGTTAAGTTTTTGGAACAAAGATTTAACCTTGTGAAATATTTTTATCACACCAGAGAAATGCTAAATAATCAGAGATTAAATATTTAATCATCTGGTTTAAGGCAGTGACATGAACTGGCAATCTATCTGAGAGCTTTGCATGACTAATTCTAATTTCATGTTCTACTTTAAGAGGCAGAGAGTGAATGACAGACTTTTTTAAAGGACTTTTTGAACAAGTTGTCTTCATTTGAAGTCCTGCATAGTCTGCAGAATGGCATATTGGTCTCTAGGGCAGCTTCCCTCTGCAGGGAAGGTGTAAATGACCCGCTGTGACTTGGACACAACCTGGTCGTGGTTGGCTTGATTCCACTGGACAATATGCTCACAGTCTGTAATATGTTGTTTTGTTCCCCTCTGAAGATCGCTGTAGAATATTCCAGAAAGTTAGGGCTGTTTATTGTCAAATGCTTCACTTAAAACATTTTATGTTGTTATTTATTTGGACTGAATCAGCAGATCTATATTAAAAATAACAAATTGACTTAGACAAACTTTATTGTCATTTTGTACACACAGGGTGAATACAAAATGAAGTTTGGTTTTGTACAGCTCTCAAGACATTTCAGTTTCTTAAAATGCAGCAGTGAACAAATGTAAACATGAGACCGAGATATGATTTATAGTTTTGCCAACATCCTCCTCATCCTCTGCAGAAAGCACATGCGCTTTAGTGCTCTTTTGACCAGTGAGGTGGTGTTTACAGTCCAGGTGAGGTTGTCTGTTACGTGCACCCCCAGGAATTTGGTGCTGCTGACCACCTCCACAGCAAAGGTGTTGATGAGCAGTGGAGCGTGGTTAGGCTGATTCTTCTTGAAGTCGATGATGACCTCCTTCGTTTTCTCCACATTAAGGATTAGGTTGTTAAATTGATAGTGCATGCAAGCGTAATTGAAAAGAGGCAGAATTATCTATAGTTTTATTTCTCATAAAATAACAAAAAATATCTGGGCTGGTATCCACAAGGAATCCTAAGATTAGAATAAAATGCCAGGGATGCCATTTCATGAAAAATCTTTAACTGCTATGAGTAGTGCATTGGACTTTCAGTGAGTCTTAAGCAGCAAGGTCGTAGGAGAGAGACAAAGGAAAAGTAATCTCCATACTATTAAAACAATGAATTAATAAGATGCGTCTCTCTTGATCATGCAGTGACACTTTTGTGGTTGACCTAATAAGGGCTAAGCTTACTTTCCCTCCAGTGAAGTAAATGTGGACATTATCCTGTTGAGGAAAATGTTATAGTTTTAGCATTAGAACAGATTACACTTCAAAAATGATCTAGAAACAAGTAAAAGTTTCATAAATTAAGTGTATATATCTTTAATTTAAGTAGATAAATAAGATGATTTGCCAATTAAATGTGTATTTTACTCTTAAAATAAGAAAAGTAGATAATATACACTTGAAATAAGACAATACAATTTTTTTCTTATTTTATATGTACATTTTCTGGTTCCAATGGCAAGGTTTCTAACTTTCCTCCTCAATT